TAGAAGAGGGGGGAGAGATCAGGACTTGCATGAAGGGCGACACACAGTTGAGTGGAACACGTAGCCAACGGCAAATCCCCTTCCCCTCCCCCCTTATATCTAATTTATGGTCCACATCGATTACGACACCCTCGATCGTGGTGGCCGACACGGATCGTTATCTTAATGATTATGTAGACGTCTCGCAGAGCAAGACAGAGAAGCAACGAGTCGGACATTTTAACTCCTCTGTACTCTTTCCCATGCCGATTGTGGATGCGATGGAAATGATCCCATTTCGTGAATTATATTGTTCGTTCATTCGTGCGTTAAAAATTAAGATGGAAGATCGAGCAAATATACACACACACACACACATATAGTATTTGAAATGTCATTTAACCTTACAATACTAACATACGGAGAAGTTTCGATGAGGTAAATAATTTTTACGAACTACCCTCTCGCCTGTTTCTTACGTCAAAAATACTGAACCAAATTAAAAAAAAAAAAGATTAACAAAATATTATTTTATTCTATATTTTGAAAAAATATATACACGTCACATTAAAAGATCTTCGAGTTCTCCTTTATTAACGACAAAACGTTTGCAAGATGTAAGATCAGGCCCAGAGTAAGGGTTAGTATTCTGTGGGTGAATCACACGAAGTGGGACGCTCAATTGTGAGTCCTTGATAAAACTTTCCTCTGTTATACGAAATTAGGCCGTTTTATAACTTCGATTGCTCCATTGGGATTTACGTTTCCGAGATTTCGCTCGCTCAGAATTTCCCGACGCGACAGACGAATTAGGAAGGGAACGCGGGGGTGGCGTCGAGCAGCACTTTCCCAGGCCGGGAGGAGGAGATGCGACAAAGTGTTTATATATTTAATCGCGATCGGCGGTGGGCCCGTCGCTTTATGGAGCGTCGCGCCATAAAAGGGTCGTGCACGGCAATTCGAGCGGAACGATAACGCTCGATAGCTCATCTTTTACGTTCCGCAATCGCGGCCTTACCCTTCTTTCTTCCTTCTCTTCCTCCATCCCCTGCCTCTCTCTCACTCACTCACTCTCTCTCTCTCTCTCTCTTCTTTCGCCCTTTCGCCCCCGTTCGCTATATATTTCTCCTTTCTTCCGAAGTGCCGTTAAAGGGGAAGAAAGGGACCCGGTCCGCCGAATTTTCGCGCACGCGAGCGTTTTACCCCGGCTACGAGCGCGTGTCCTCGCGCAATAAAGCTTCCGCTCGAGCGGGCAGGAAAAGCCCCGGAACGCGGCTCCGCAAAAAGAAGAAGAAAAAAAGATGAAGGAAACGGAGAAAAGAGAGGAAGAGGAGAAGCTGTGATTTTCCATCGGCGGGCGAGAGTGAAGTGTAATCGACATTACCCCGATAAATAAGAGCGATGCTGCGTAAAAGAAACCTTTCTGCGCGAGGGTGCTATTGAATCCTTCTACGTCACTTTCGTATCGTTGATATTTATTGTTATTATTACTGTTATCTTTACCGAAAGAAAAACGGGTCCCCCAGTGTTATATAAAGTAAAATACAAAAATGCAAGATGTAAAAATATATTATTATATTCTTAAATTTTCTTCCAGTAAAACCTCGCTCGAAAGAAGAGTGCCGGGTCATTTGGATTCGAATAACTGTTCACTTTCGTCTTTCACTTTTTGCTTCCAAAAGCACGGATGTACGAAGAAATAATTCGCCGAAGGTTTCACCGAAGAGGGCTTTTTTCCGTGATGTTTCTCGCTCGTTCGTCCATTCGTTCGTTGACTCTCACGCGGTCGGACAGCCTTCATTCGGTTTCTTCCTCTACTTCCTTCTCGAAGACAAAACTGAAAAGGGAATAGCCCGAGCGTGTAGCCGGCAACTCAATCGATACCGGTCCACCCTTGAATTATGCACGCTCTGCTCGGCAAGAAACGAAGCGTCTTCTTTTAAGGGTCGTTCACACGGTTAGCGGTTCTCTGCGAACTTCGAGTCAATGCGCTTCGCTGTATCGACGTTGTACTGTAAATGTGCGATCCTTCTGACTTGAAGGCTCAAGATCGCGAGCGACATGAGCAGAAATAAGAAGAAAAAAACGGGGAAACGAAGGAAGAAAAATACAACATGTACGAACACGTCGTGCGGTTGCCTCTTCTCATATATATATATATATATATATTATAATGTATAATAATAAATATAATTTTTTGATTATATAATAAGAATGATATTTCGATCTACAATCAGTTTTTCATTTATAATTTGTACTTTTTCATCTTCATTTTTAGTTTTTAATTTCGACTAAGAATGAATACGTACGTATGTTCGGAAACGTTAAGCTAATAAAACATTTTGCAATTGCGTATTCGGTGTATTTGAAATAAATATAAATAGGCAATATCATTATAAATATATATCGAGAGGAACAACTAGTCGAAATTTCCAATCTTTTATATATATATCTTAAAAAGTCATACTGATTTTAATATATTCCAATTAATTAATTTAATCTTACTTAACTACGTACTCGTGATATACATAACAGATCTGTCATTGTCTCTCATCATCTTTCATTATTATATTGTTTGATAATAAATTTCATTGTTTGATGTAATAATCGGTTTTCTTCCATCCTACGGCCGATTCGCGTGGTCTGTCTGGAAGGTCGCGTGTACGAACGTGGAAATTCACTCGAGCGTTTTTCGCGAGGGTCGCGATCGATTCGGCATCGCGCCGTAACGTCCCTCCCGATGTTTGTTCGCGACAGTCCGGACAGGTGCAATTTTTTTCGACTGACCGTCCTGATATTCTCAGTTCGCTTCGCGCCGGACCGGCCTTTGTCTCGAGCCGCGGATTTGACGATGGCTCTCAGTGAACGAGATCACCTGTCCCGGCGCGGATTGTGCTCGCGATTTCATTCGATTGGATTTGCGTTTCGTTTGTCGTCCGCAGATGCACCTGTTGCGAACTCGTTACATCGGAGAACACGCGACTCTTCTTCGACGGGACAGCGTAATTGCGCTTTGATCGATACGCCGGTCGACGCGACGTCGAAGGTAATCGAACTGAGACGCCAATCTTAGGCAACGAGCCATTCTGTTGACCCTTTTGCGTTGAGGGACGAGAACGATGAAGCGCGTCCTGGGAAGCGAGAAATTAAATTCATCGAAAGCGAATCGAGTTTACGCACGCACTCTGCCGCTAAAGGGACCTAACGAACCAAAAAATGGCCCCGAAGAGGGCGACTTACGTACTATAATGCGTAATTCGGCACGACATTACTGCCGAAATCTCCATTCAAATCCTCACGAAGATCAGAAGGATGTCCCAGGATATCTCAAAAATTTGCTTTACAAGTAATAGATTGCCTGAGAGAGAGAGAGAGAGAGAGAAAGAGAGAGAGAAAGAAAGAGAAAGAGCGCGTCGTTTGAAGAAGGGGAATTTTTCAACACCTCCCACCACGGGCGAAGAGGAGTTTCGGGGTGCGCAGGTGCACTGGTCAGGCTACAGACGATTTCGTAAATTACCGTATTACGAATTACGAATCGAACACGCGCTCCGAGATTGAAACAGATCAGTTCGTTAATGGAGTCATTTGCCAGGCGCGACGGTACGGCGAATTGCGGGGAAATGCGAAAACGTTCCTCGCCAGGATCTACGCGAATTGTTTTGCTTCCCCAAAGCTCTAAGAAAAATATTTCTAATTTTGCTTCACTTATCTTTCACAATTAACATTTTAAGGTCTTTTTTTATTGGAATTTGCATATTACGTATGCCAGTGTCTCCTCGCGATTATATTAATCTTCTTCTCTCTCTCTCTCTCTCTCTCTCTCTCTCTCTCTCTCAAGAGAGGCAAGTTATGATAAGACTATTATTATATACGATAATACTGTGCATATGTACATATATATAATATGTATATATATGTTACAAATCCTGTCCTCCGCGATTTCTCCTCATCGATATCGCGTCGATGTCGTGCCATTCCTGCTACGCCGAGAGGGAAATATGTCAGATAAGAATTTCAGCTGTAAATCAGCACGACCTATCAGATTAAACGGCGGAGTCAGCGATATGCAAGAGCGAGCACGAGATGATATTCGGGGCTTCCCAGTGTGCGAGAACGGGAGAGACGAAGAGAGGACGAGCGAAGGACAAAGAGAGAAAGAGCGAGAAGGGAAAACAGGAGCGGAAGAGAGACACGGATAGGAGATTCAAAAGCAAGATATGATCTGCAAGTTGAGAAATTATATATTCATGACGTAATATATATATATGTATATATAATATAATATATATTATATATATTATATATTATATATATAACGTTGAAAATTATATATGAAGAATGCTACAAGCCATTAAATATCGTTATAATAACATTCTATCAACGTCTAACAAACGTGACATATTAACATTATTGATTCCCTAAAACTCGATTTACTATTTGGTCCGCTCATGACCAAAATATGTTCGCCTTCTTGACGTCTCTTTTCTATCTGGTTTTCTCATTAATACATATTATTATTATTGATTTCTAAATTTCGAGATTTCGACTTTTCGGGATAATATACATATGTCCACCGTCGAATTAGCGGCGCGAAACTCTTTCCTGAGCGCGTGACTCTTTCCTCCGGAAATCCGCTGTTTTCGCGACGCCGAGAATCACTCGCAAGTTGGATACTTCGATCGCACGCCGTCGTATAAAAAACATGCGTGGGGTTTATTTATCAGACTCGGCGGAATGCCGGGTGGCGCACGGAAAAAAGCTGCCCAGTTTTTCAGTGGCAACCAGAGGGACCACCATGTTGCGTGAAAATCTCCCACTCTTCTCTCTCTTTCTCTCTTTCTCTCCTCTATGCGTCCCATATTTTGTCATATTTCGCTTGAAAACCAGAAACTGGCGAACACCGATTGCAGGAGGGTCTCCACTGCGATCTATTTCCGACTCTGTCTAATGTTAGAGCGCGCGAATGCATCGTCTTGTCTGCTACTGCCATCGCTGCTGACCGGGTCACACTGTATCCGTGGCACCGGCCAACGTCGGATCGGCTCCCGATCGCGTTGTTATCAATTAATAATCCTTGCTAATCTGCAGTAATTAAATCGCGACGACGTGAGTTCCTCCGGTTATCGACAATAAGGGACCACCTCCTCCTTGAATATTTTTTTTCTTCCTTCTTCTTGAAAAATTTTCTCCCGGAACGTTCTTCTTTCTCAAGAATGTTCTTCTAGGATTTTCTCTTTCTCTACAAAGTTTCTCCTAGATTTTCCTCTTTCCTTAACAATTTTCTTACAGGGCTACTCTTTTATTTTATGACCAGGTGAAGTTTAAAAATAGGTAGAAAATTTTTAATTCGGCTTCATTTTAAGCTGGCTGAGACCATTAATTTGCGCACACCGTCCGTGATATGTTAATACGTTGTAACAAACGGTATTTCTGTACGAAATCATGTGACTTCTGGGCGTTGTTCATCGTTGAAGGATAGTCACGCGATAACTCACCGGTGATACGACGTTTGTATCGCGAAACGTAGGCTGAAACACGCGAGTAAAGTGCGGAGACGCGCAAGCGAACAGCATGCTGGTGCTCTTCGACGTGATCATCGGTTTAGTGGACGCTAGGCGGGAGAGGTGAGTTCGTCTTTACGTTTGCGAACGAGTTTGCGGTCGAGAAGCTAATTAATCCTCTGTTTAAGAGGATAAAATTTGACCGATGTTCACCGTATTCACACGATCGCCTGCATCGAACGGGAATGAAGGAAAACACCAACCGTAATCACCGGAGATTTATAAAGAAAAAAATCAGACATAACAACTTTCGCGATGCAAATCCCGATTTTGTCGAATCTCTTACCTTCTCCAAAGTATTTCGCCACTTTTCCATTGGCCTTTCGTTTCACGTTGACACGAAAAAATGGGATTGTCACATGATGTTAGTTTTGAAAGAATATTCGCGTTATGTTGTACGTCATAAGCATGCTTTATATAAATATATGTTATTACGAAACAGACATTGTAATTCATAGAGTAAATAATAAAAACTATTCATCCGTTAGAATCAATATTGACTTGTTTATCGATTCGGAAAGTCATCAGATCTTTTCCATGCTTCAAAAGTTTCGAAACTTGTTCTTCAGTTTTGTTAGTTGTTTTTGTCGTTCTTGAATCCAGATTTGTAACTTTGACCACAGTTTGTAATTACTCTTTAAAAAGGTGTTATTTGTAAATGCATATATCTGAAACACACGATTCGGGTATTAATCGCTAATGGTCATTCTAAACGGTGGTGACACTTTTTAATTTTTTTTTAATTAAAGCAGCTTAATGTATATCACGAATACAACATTATATAAAATTGTTTAAGATGTAAATAAAGAACTCAAAAATTCGAAATTGTAAAATTTACCTTGTTTAGTTGTTCCTCGCTACATACGTTCATAATGGTATCGCTCATCAGAGTTTCATTAACAAAATCAGCGGGGAATCTATAAAGTGATAAAGCATTAGATTTATCATGTCTGGCGATGATAAACAACGTATATTTCTGATAAAAACGATTACCTATTCAAAGCTTTATAATAAGCATCTAATATATTATTTAACATGATATCGTCCTTCACATGTTTCTTGACAATAGAACGATATACTTGTCCCATGTCGAGTTCTGTTAATTCTCCCTTCATAAATATTATAGTCATATAGGAAATAAGGAAGTTTTTATTTTCTGTACAAGACAAGCAGTATAAAATCTTCATGTCTTTCCGTGTATTGCCCTCATATAAAACCTTGTCCAAAATTTTTAAATGTACCGACGTCATCCCCATACAATATATCCATTCTTCCGTAAACGGAAGCCACTTTTTACTATGAACATGAAATGAAGTAAACATTTGAGACTTAATTTTCAATCTCACTTCTCATTCACATAAATCAGCAATAATGCAAGAAGTAATAGGGAAACTTATTAAAAATAATAAATAGCGATTGTAAAAAGAATTTACTTGTTCCATCCAAACTTTAATATGTACGCGGCCATTTCGTTGCCAAGGACGGTCCTGCATCCTTCATGGCCGAGTTCACAGGCCCATTTTATTGCTAATATTCTTAACGCAATTGTCATATTACTGTCGTTTTCACGGTGTACGTATCCCACGTTATCTAGAAGTGCATCCAGCAAATACAGAAAAGCTTCCTAGAAACGTTCACGCAATATTAATTTCGCGAATACACCTTATCATATATGAAAGAATATACTTATGTCTATGCGAGTAGATAATGCGATGTGTAAAACATTTTCAGATTTTTTAAAAAGAATAGCATACTTTTCAATGACTTCTCGATATTTTCATATTACTATCTATGTGCAAAATAATGTAATTGAACAATTTCTTTGTGAAATTCGTTGCTTACTTACATACGTTGATTGCCTTGCTGCACACTTTAAATAAGGCTTCATGTACGACAAAATATTAAACAAAGGATACCATACTACGTAATCCGTCTCATTTTTTAGGAACCGAATGATATCGAAAAATACAGTGGGATTTAATTGATCTACTGTTGCAAAATAGAATGCATCGTTGATAATCTGTGCGCGATTAAGAGGAGGTATAGTTACAGAGGGGACAAACTGTATGTAGTGGGAAAGCAGTAGCCAGTTCTTTTTGTCGTAATTGACGCGATAGTAACCTGTCGCAAAAGAAATTAGACAATTAAGATACTTTCTATTGTGCTTGGAAATATACAAAATTTCGTTGACTATTAACCATTCGTAGAATAAATAACAAAGTATTATATAAGTTTATTATATTTTGCTTACCGACTTGATTCAAGTTAGCTATGAAAAATTCCTGTGAATCAGGTCCAGGAATCAATTTTGTTTGATTTCCTTCATACCAAGTAACGTTAGTGTTGTAGGAACCGATGTTTGACGGTGTAGCATAAGTTAGAGGTATCTTACATTTAAAATTTTGTTTAGAAACGAGGCGGCCCTCTACTATATTATCAATATAGTCACGAGTGAAGGCCATTTCAGGGTGATGTATTTCGGTTAGCCATGAGTCCATTATTTCTTTTATTGTATATCCGTCATTGTTTTCCTGAGAATATACCTTTTGCAAGACGGTCCACAAGTCTTCGGTGCCGCTGAAGCAATAACAATTTAAATTTAATTTTTTTATTTCTACGATATTGGCACCAGATATTCTTCGAAATTATTTTAATAAAAAAATGTGTGTTAACAAAATATATATATAATAAATATATATATATATATATATAATTATAATTATAACAAAATTTATACATATATACATATATATATATATATATATATATATATATATATATATATATATAATATAAATACCGCGCAAAGGGAGAGCCTGGCCNTATATATATATATATATATATATATATAATACAAAAGATAAGGTAATTATAGGTAATTTTGTGAACATCCTTCAGGTCATTGTTCTATGAAAAATCTTGTATTTCCTATTAATATATTCCGAATAATTAATAAAAATATAATTATGCGTAAAATTCGACAAGAACGACAAAAAGACGACTGAATGAACATTTACATTTCCAACAAAATATGAGATTATTGCAGTAAACCAGCTTACCGTAATCGTACATATTCTTTGACAGCATTATAAAAGTTTTCTGGAGTCAAAAGATGGAGCAACATGCGAATAAGAGCAAATGCTGCAATGATTGAAATAATAATGCGTATAAAGTTTAGGTAGTTTGAAAAGGTTCATTAACCGTATTTATTGAATCTCACCTTTCTTGTGATATAGGAGAGAATAAAGTAATCCATCAATTCCAGTATCGTCTTTAGCTTTATGTATAATAGGTTTCAGCTCTAAAGAAACGTCACTATCCAAAGCAGTCTGTATATTTTGGACTACAAGCAACTCCATGGCCTTAGTGCCTAACGCCTGGAAACAATAATTTTTCGTGGATAATTTGTAGTTTAATGTTTTGTAGAAAGTGTTTGAATAGTAGAAATGAGTACTACATGATCACTCATTATGTGTGTTAACAAGGTTTCAATTTTTCTTACTGTTAAGTTAACAGTATTTTTGAATTGCATCCCAATAAGAAATAAGAAGTCGAAATAATATCGAAATGATATCGAAATTTCAACATCTTCAGAAATTAATTATATTTTTAGTTCTTCCCAGAAATGATTCGTCGAATTAACATCAAATCTATGTCGATGAGTCATTTTGGATCAAAAGTATCATATTGATATCATTTCGAACTCGAATCGAGATTTTACGTATAAACGGGTATGCATAGAACTACAACAATAAAACAAATTGAGCAAAACAATAACAAGAATGGCTATCTATCATTCATGTCAATTTATGGCAATTATTATTATTATTAATATCATTATTATTATTTATTATTTATTCATTGGCAATCCGAAAATAAAACGAAATTCAAACGAACGTCGAGTTTTACTCTTGCCAACGCTATTGAACTAATTTCGACGTCCAGGATGTTGTTTCGATATCGTTTCGACATTAGCTTTCTCATTAGGAATGGAGAGTGGTTTTACTAATATTCATAGCACAAAAGAACCTTCTCGAAATAATAAAAGTTGTAGAACGATGCGAGTATCTCGTTTATCCACTTATCATCCTTTAAAGACGAGTTGACGTAACCAACGAACAATTGACGTGCCACTTCGTATGATATCAACTTCTCAATATTAACACGTTGTACTGGGAAGAAAAGGTTTAACAATATGTTGTACGAGACATCTTTCACCCTATAAGTTTTGAGAAATATATTTTTATCAAATTTCATCTTGTAAATGTTATGCACTTTATACGTACGCATGTCTATATATATGCTATGCACGCTGTATGAATTTTAACATATCTGCTGTTAGAACATATATAGACATTACATATCAATATATATGATATGACAAAACGTCTAATGACGTCGTGGACGTTCGAGCCTCTGTAACGATACATGTAATAATATTTTAAATATTTCGCGTACCTATAAATAACGAGTCCAGGTTTTGCCACGGACGTCATAGGACTATTGGGAAGAAAGACATGGTCGACTTTGTATTGCATGCTCTGCATAATGAAGTCATCAGCTCGAGAAATCAGTAACGTGGCGTTATGTACTATTTCTTTTGCGTATTTGCAAAGTGAGTTGTCTATTTCGAAACTGCACCACACATTTTGGTTGCCTAATTTATTAGAATCACTTCTAACATCACGTATTATCGCAATTGCTAAGAGATTTATAAACATTGGTTGAGTTTCCTTGAAAGCTGTCCACTGCATTTCATCTCCACCTTCCAAAATCTTATCTACTCTCGTACTCGAGAGAATTTTGAGCGATGTGCTATGCTGAACTAAGATGCGGAAGGTTGTATATATTGTCGGCTCGTCCCAGCATGGAAACAAGTTTCGTATTCCCTTTGATGCATACAGATTCGTGAGCAACCACCTGTCGCATTTTAAGAAGAAGCTTTTGACAAAGATAACTTTCCAATCATGATGTAATTTAGGTATATGTGAGTGGCTGGTGAATGTTTGCAAGGATTGAATGAAACGGCGTTTCATACTAAATATATATATCTTTCGGAGTCCTACGTATTAACCCAATACGTATCAACCCAAAAGATTCTGACAACAAGCTGACACTTGGCAATAGCGAATAATAATATTTGCAATCGTGCATTGAGATTATATCTTATCATTAGCTTACCATTTCTTTTGTCCAGACCAAGAATAGGGATAACTGATCTCGCCGAAAGTTTCGTTGAAAAGAGAAGTATATTCTATATGTAAGACATGTTGTCCAGAAGGTATGACATCGGAAAAAATCAGGAGCAAAATCTCATTGTCGGCGCAATATACAGCATCGTTCAGTTTAAAAGCTGCGTATTCATCGACACATTTCGGCGTTGTGTCAGGCTTCATAATTATTGTGCACTTTTGGTTCACTCTCAAATTGCGTGCATGCAGACTTATATTTTTTGTCTGTTCTTTAACGTCAATCGTGATATCGGTTATGCCCGATATGTTTGTAAGCGGCTTTATGTGTAGTCTTATATCATATTTTATTGGCTGTACTTTTGCGATGGGCAATCGCTCGGAAGTAAGCTGGCATAGATTAAGGTTCTGATAAGTTGCGGCATTAGTTATGGCAAATATCGATGCAAGACCGAAGATTATATTTAAGATCACTTTTGCCACCACAGACATCTGCACAAAGAATATATTTGTTAGAGTAAACCGAGAAAACTGTTAAACGTAAGATGTTCATGACGACATAGTTTTTCATCACGCCCGGTAAAAGATTTTTATTTAGAATATTCTCTCCACAGATCACTGCGCATTTTCTTTTTTAACGTAATTGTATAAAACAGACTTAGTTTTATTATGACTATAGAAGAAAAATTTCTTGCTGTCGTGTGTGTGCTGTATGTGACGCTGGTCTCTCGTGGAAAATCCTTGCGTTGCACATATGTGACGCTAGTAGCAAATGTGTTAATTGCAATTTTATTGCATGGAAAATTAAGAAGAAAACAGAAAGCGGGAAGCAGGAATGATGCAGTGTCATTTATCAAAAAGGATAATACATATTGATAATACATTGAAAAAAAATATATAAAAATATGTAATAGATTATTCTCTTATGTACATCCCAAACAAAGCAAATGAGAATCATAATATATCACTAATTTTGATAGGACTAACATGAAAAGAATACCAAACAGATAAATTGTTTATGTCCTGAAGAGCATCCTGAAGGTCATTTCAGTGTTAGAGTTAAACGTATGTAAATTTTATGAGACGACGTTAACATAATTTCGATTGAATAATTTAAGATCTAGAAATTAGAAAAGCATAATTATTGCTTACGTTGTATATGTTATATATGTGTTATGTTATATGTGATATGTTATATATGTGATACGTTATATATGTGATAAAAGTACGATATTTTGATGGACATTGCAGTAATTCTCTTGTCGGAAATGATGAGAGAAATAGAGTTAGACTAAGACGTTAATGTATAACTACAAATATAGAAAAATGTAGTTTTGAATTTAGTCCGCTATCGCGCATAAAAACCGTTGAAAACATTATTTGGTAGCATACGAAATTATTGAGGACAAACAGGACACTTGACTATGTTACTTTAAATATAGGATAGAAAATGTGAAATGAAATTTTGGTGTAAAGATAGACAGATGGAAATACACGTTTGAATCGTTCGTGTAATTTTATCTGCGGTATGCAGAGAATGCGTTAATGTTTCTTCAGCGGAAAGCATGGCAGATAAATTAATAATTTCGAACGATAAATTCATTTAAAGCTACATTCCCTTATCGTATCAAGCTTCGGAAGTTTGCATATTTTATTCAGAATATTTGCTATATAAAATGAAATTTGAGGAAGACCTATACTTTTTGTTTCGATGCATGGATAAGTGTGTTGAATTTATTTCGAAAAATTTCTTCCCAATTTGTAACTTTTACTTGACGCTTCAGCTGCCTGTTTCATTGCGGACGTTTATTATTTTCTGCGGTGTAAGGAAGTTGTTTAATTTCTTTCCTTCGCCGATGCGACAAAAATTTGTGTGGAAATATTTTTTCAAATTATTAATTATATTTGACGCGTCATGTTTGCTGCTTCTATTGTCAAATAGAGGAAGTCTATAATATAGAATTGTTGTATCTTACCATCTTGACGAATCACTGGAAACTGACGACGACAACAGTTCTTGGTGTCGTTATATATACGAAGTATTGTAAGAATCCAACATATAAGAAGTGTCCTCTATCATTGGACTTCTACGAGTGAGTTATCTATCAAAGCAACAGGTTCCGAAGAACGGTAAACAAGGCCAATAGGAACCTGTCGTTAGATATTGGTGCGAATATTTAAATTAAGGAAATAGCCCATTCTTCTTCGTAAACAGAAAAGCAGTTTTACAGATGTCTACCGCGCTTACACAATAACCAGCAACGAACAAGGATGAAGGGAAACATTGACGTGTTGCCAAGGATTTGCGAAAAATAAAATAATTGATAAGGATCTGTTTGCCGGGAATTTGTGAAGTAAAAAATACGAGAAAACGATGTTCGCATAATAAATTAGTACCCGCTTTCTTCCTACACTCTCGTCTGCAACATCTTCCCAAATTCTTCGTCGGTCTTTTGTGATATGTTGAACAAAAACGAAACCATCACATGATATGTTTATGAAAGAATATTCCTTTTTTATGTATCATAAATATACTTTATGTAAATATCTGTTATTACAAGAAATACATTGTAATTCGTATAGTGAAAGATAAAATCTATTTATCCCTTAAGATCTATGTGACTCTCTGGCGACTCAGTAGATTATAAAAAATAAATATCAATTTCTATTACATTACTTGAAATTTTGAAAAATATATTACCTAAAATTGTTAAATTTCTTTAAGATCCTTATTATTTGCTCCGTCCGTATTTCAATCCAGGTTTGATACATATTGTACTCTTGAATATAAAAGCCTCTTAAAACATTTCTGCTTAAAAATATCTTTATCTAAAATATAATTTATATATTAATTGATAACGAATAACAGCGACTTAGACGAATATAATAAGGATATGTCATTGCATAATTCCTCTACTTCAATCAAATTAAGTTCTGGTTTAATATATAGAATATATAAAGAATTAAAGTGAAATTGTTTAAGAGATGAGTAAGTAATAACAGAATTCAGCATTATAAAATTTACCTTGTTTAAATGTTCTTGTTGATATAGATTCATAATAATATTACCCATTAGATCGATTTGACGCAAATCTGGAAATCTATAAAATAGCAAAGCATCCAAATTATTCTCCATAAGCATCACTCCGTTTGATGATTATAAACAACGTGTATCTCTTATAAAGAGAAATACCTGTCTATTATATTGTAATAATTATTTAACACATAATCCAGGACGGCATCTTTCTGCACATGTTTTTTCACAATCAAATTATATATTGTTTCCATATGTAATCCACTTTGATTCCCAAGTTTCGTATTCAGTATCAAGTCCAAATAATGTAAGATGATTTTCTCATCTTCTGAATAAGTCAAATGCTCTAAAAGCTTTATGTTTTTTTGTTGTGTGCCGTAGTGCAAAAGTTTTGTCCAAATACTCATGTTTACGTGCATCATCCCTAAAGAATATAACAAATTTTTTGGCCACGGCCACGGGGTCCTATGAGACATACAAAGAGAGTTAAACATTTTTAAGAAAAACTTAGCTTTCGTTCTTATTTCTCGATAAGATAATTCATCAATCCTAACGCGATATACTAGACAAACTTATTAAAAATAATATGTTGCATTTGTGAAGAGAAATTACATCCTTGAAATAGGCATGTACAGATGCGCGATCAATTTGTCGACAGTGGCGTTCCTGCACCCTGCATGACCCAATGTGCAAGCCCATTTTGTTGCTAAAAATCTTAATGATACCGTCATGGCACTCTCGTACGAATTTATTTCGTATCCTACTTTTTGAAAAAATCCATCCATGATATCCACAATTTCTTCCTGGAAGTCGTTATTTTACAATCATTTTATATATGAATACGATATGAATATATATTACTGTTTATGAAAACATTATGACTATGCGAGTAGATACGTAATGTGCAAAATTTTCCAAAATTTGCAATTGGAATACTATTGTATTTGAGGAGTTTTCCTTATTTTTGTATTTTTGTATAACGATATGCGTTACATAAAAGTTCACAATTTTTTTTCACAAATTTGTTCCTACCTACCTTCATCTTTGTGCTCATTGGATGACATTGTATGAAAGCCCTTGAATAAGTTAACATATTAAACATGGGATACCATACTATATAATTTGTCTCGTTTTTTAAAAATTGAATGATTTCGAAGAAATAAACGGTTGCCATTTCATGTACTATTGCAAAATAGAACGCATCATTAACAATCTGTGCACGATTGAGAATAGGAATATTTGTAGATGGGACCATCAGTAGATTCTTGGTAATCATGCGCCAATTGGTTTTATCGTAATTAACGCGATAGTAACCTGTTGTAAAAAAATTCAGATATGTAAGATACTTTCAATTAAAAAAAAAACAGACATGTAAGATACTTTCAATTACGCATAACCCAAAATTTTCGTCAACGATCAGTACAGTGCTCATTGAAATTACAATTATATCTTAATCAATTTTACATAAAATATTTATAAAATATACATAATTACATTGATCGTTCAGCTGTCATAGAACAAACAAAAAAACATTGTAAATAAATTAGTCTGTGCTTACCGACTTGTTCCAAGTTGGCTATGAAGAATTCATGTGGGTGAAAATCAAGCATTGATTTCTTTTGTTTTCCTTTAAACCAAGTAACATTAGTAATGTTGAAAGAACCGATATTTGTCAATGTAGCATAAGTTAAAGGTATATTACACTTTATGTTTCCCAAAGTGAACACCGGTATGTAATTTATTAAACCTCTATTATATTCACGATAAAAATGCATTCCAAGAAGACGATTTTCTGTTAGCCATGAGTCCATTATTTCTTTTATTGTATATGTATTATTGTCTTTTTGATACACCTTTTGCAAGGCGGTCCATAGGTCTTTAGTACCACTGAAAACAATGCAACATCTTGCATAATAAACTTTCAAGTAAAATAAGTTGTGAGATTGTATAATTATGTTATTGCTGTGTATTAACTTACTTTGAGTTTATATAATTTTTAATGGCAAAATGAAAATTTCCCGGAGTGAGAAGATAGACCAACATTCGAATTAGAATATATGCTAAAATGATACATACGATAATAAATATGAAATTCAGATAGTTTAAAAGAATTGGTGAATGTATTTATCGAGTCTTACCTTTCTTGTGATGGAGGAGAGAGTAAATTAGTCCATCAATTCCACTATCGCCCTTATATTTATATATATTAGGTTCCAGCTTTAAAATAATATCATTATCTAAAGTAGTCTGTAGATTTTGGACCACGAACAGAGGCTTCATCATACTTGGTTTTATCTAGAAACAATAATTTTACTGCGAATAATTTAATATGATATCGTAAGTATTTGAATTAACGATACCTATAAGCACCACCTGGCCAACATTTATTTAAAAGGGTTTCATTTCTTTTATGTAGGTTCAACAATGTTTTGAAAATGCAAAGGCGGTTGGTTTTGAGTTTATTAATATTAATAACATAGAATAACCTGTTCCATAGAACATAGAATATAAAAGCTGTAGAATGATGCGAGCATCTCCTTTATCCACCAATCACTCTTTGAAGATAAGCCGACGAACAATTGACGGGCCACTTGATATGCTAACAATTTCATAAGATCAATATCTTTACCAGAAAATACTTCATGGT